AAAGAGATGCCAGAGAGGCCATTCGTGAATCCAGATATGTATATATCCAGGTAAACTGTCTTTTGTTCCTGCACATAACTAAGTATGTGTATATATATATATATATATAAAATGTTGTTGAAAAGGCAAATATCTCAACAGATAAGCTTCTGAAATGGCCACTGTCCTAGTTGAGTAGAGCATGGAAATCTTAGTAGTGGTTGAAACCATAGTAAAATATTAACCTGTTCCAGTTCCCCCATCCTTCATTGCCTGCGCTCTGTTTTGCTTTCTCTTCTTAGCACCCTGCCACCATGGACCTGCTCTGGGCAGCGGCAGTAGTGGTAGTCAGAGAGGTTCAGATACATGTTTCTCTTCCCGTTTCTGTGGCTTTGGTAGCAGTCTAACTCTCGGCATTACACCATTGTAATCAGAATGCAGATTTGTTATCATTGAAGTATGTGAAAGTGAGGACAGTGTGTTGTTTTTGTTAAATATTAGCTCAGTTGTATCTGCTCTTGTGGAGGAAAGCTCTCCTTTTCTAGTGAGGATATGAGAGGTTTGTTTTTCAAGAGGGAAGTATTAGGTAGGATTCCCACCTTTCCCTTTGCTTGTCCTTTGGCACATGCCCCTGTGCAAAATCATGGCTTCATTTGTAATGCAGCACTGTAGATTGTCCTTTATGTCTGATCCAGAGGAGACTGTGACAGGCATCAGTAGCAGAGCTTTACCCTTAAAACAGCTTGTGTACTTGTGTCTGCAGAGATGCTCAGTGTGATTCCTGGCTGACTGTCCAAAATGTTTTTTTCATGCTCTGGTTAGAGATGAGTCAGCACCAGAGAGGGGATATTGCTGCAAAGATGCTGCACTCGGTAATTCAGGTGGCATCAGTGATTACCTTCCTGCTCTGATGAGTGCCTAAACCACCAGAATTGCCTGTAATTATTCACTTGAATTAGGCTTCAAGAAGCCATTTTGTGGGCTTCTCTCCACAATTCAGGGGCTTTCTCACCTCCAGTCTCTTGGAAAAGACAGGAACCTCAGGGATTGAAATAGTCTTTTTCCTTCCTTGCCTCAGCAAGGGTCAACTACCTGCAACTGCTGACCGTGGTTCAGACTTTGAAGATTTTTCTCTTTCCAGGCACTGAATCTGTTGCAGCTTAATTCACTGGGAAATAGCTCATGCACTGTGTTGACTGTTTATTCCTTAAAAGGAAAAGCAAAATATAACCTTCTGCAGGAAAAAATTTTTTTTTTCATTTGACTTAGTGTAAAAAGTCAGAAAGGTATGCATCTTGTTCTCTGTGTTTTGAAGTAGACATCTAAGAGGTCAAGTCAACAGGCATTACTTGCATCACACCCTTTGACCCTAGAAATCCTCTGGTTCCTTGAAATGTTTATAACTTTTTCAGTACTTCATTTACAACAGCCAAGCAAAATCAATTAAAACACAGAAGAATAAATTCTGTTATAAAATAACACTCTTAAAAATATAAAACCCCAAAATGGTTCTGAAAAATAAAGAAGTCAGGTCAAGGCTAAGTAGAAAGGAAAATATCTTCATATTCCTGAATAAAAACTGGAATTTGCTTCTGAGTTTGAAACCTCATAAAAGCCTCTTGAAATTTGCTTGAACAGTGGAGATACAGGCATCTGACTGAACATAGCAGATTGCAGCGTTGTAGCTTTTGTGTCATGGTCTCAGAACAACAATTTGTGCGCATTAAATAAATACACAGATTTTCTTTGCTGATGATTAGCATAGCATCAGATGGATACAAGATTATTGTATATTCTTCTAAAGTTAAGTAAGGAAAGGGAAAATGTACTGCATAGGAGACACAAACACCATTTCCATCCTCATGTTTTTTATTGTGGATGAGGCCTGAGGTACTGGATCCAGCTCTTATGCTGGCTCTGTGAACTAAATGCCGCCTGACTTGGATTGCTTCATTGTAGAAAATCGAAAGGATGTGATTTTTCTTACCTTTTCTTCTTAACCTACAGAGTTAAGCCAGTAATCAAGAAAAATAGCAGATTGCCTTAGAAGTTCAGGTTTTTGTGCCTGTGTTTGGTGTTTCCATTTTCATCATACCAGAATGGTTTAGGAGATACAATTGGGTTGGTTTTTTTGTTACTATTCTAGTTGGCATTGAACATCTGGCCAAACCAAATGAAGTCCCATTCAGATAACTCAAACAGAGAAACAAAATTTCAAAAAAAAAAAAAGTAAAAAAGAGGGAAACAGAAAAAATGAAACAACATAATAAATTGATGTCCACATTTGGAAATCTTAACAGTTATTTTTGCAGTAGTCTACAGCTCTAGTGCAAAGCACTAATGTTTAGTGATACAGGTTGGAAATGTTCTCCACTACTGCAGTGTGGGAAGGAGAGTAATTCCTGTTAAGCACTGTTGTAATCTCACAAGTTTGTGGTGCAAAGTACTTTAAAAACATACCTTTTTTTTTCTAGCAGAATATTAGGAGAGGTTAGGTGGATATAACCTGTGAATGAGTCCAAAGCAAGCGTACAGTGACTAGAAGTAGTCTTGTATTTCATCTTTTTCTTTCCTTCTGTTCAGTAGACTTTGTATGACCTTTAATGACTAAGGACTTCTCCATTAATTTTTCTTCTTTGCAGGGAATGTGCTGTACCATATTTATTAAGTCTTTTGTCACATCTGACTTCATCTGGCTAAATTAATATCTGCTTTTGTACTTCTACATTCTTTCACAAACCTCTGCTTTCTGCAAATTCCTGTCTTCTGTTATCACTCAGTTTCTCCAAACCTGAATGAGATATGACATTTTGTTATAAATAAGTTAATTATCTAAGTTAATTATCCAACAGTTTAACCTGTTTGTTTAACTTCCCAAGTGGCCATCTCTTTAATAAGAACAGGTTTTTAGTAGGCTACGTTCATTTAAATGGTGATCTAGGCCATATCTAAAGTAGGCTAATACCCTAATACTGAGCCAGAATACTTATAGCTATTAGTTTGTAAAATAGTGTCCCTCAGAAGTTACTCTGCTTGACCCACTTTCTCAATTGGATGGCACACCTGATGATTCATTATGGATCAGAAAACGTGGTTATTTTCATTCATTTGATGCTATGTAAGGCAGCCCCACACAGCACTGGGAATATTTTGCTGGGTGTGAGTCTCTGGTTTATGTGTCTGTGCCCATTAGAAATACACATTTAATGTTTCCATGCAGCACTACAGTGATTGTGAAAACTGGCAGATAGATAGGAATGCAAAGTCAGGTCTGGGTAGATGCATCCAGCTGTAGACCCAGATAATGACAGCACATTTACACACTGTGGATCACTTTTCACTGCTGTGACTGGGGCTCCCAGTCCAGCTAAGTATATTTCTGAGTAGTGCAAGGATCATGGTACACATTTTAAGAGTTGATTTGCAGTGCTACTGTTGATTCACATAGATGGTGGTCCATTTTTTGTGGGTAAGATTCCTCAGTCCATTCTAAGGAAGGCATAGGATGTAGGACAAGCTATGTTTCACCTGTGGTCCCATGCAGTGAAGGGAATTTAACCTACCATGACACGTAGCCAAAGTTCCCATGGTACTTCAGACTATTCGGTGTTGTTAATTCGTGTTGGTCCAAGTCAAGGACTCATTACATAAGATGATTGTGTGCAAAGGCTTGCAAATTTTGCTCTAAGTTAGGCCACTTCACTGTTTCTGAATGGTAGATTTCAGAAATGCAAAAGGGTTGGTGAGAACAGGGAATCTTGGAAGACTGCAAAAATGCATCAAATGCTGTATTTCTGTTTTGATGTATTTGCATTTTATTAGCATACAGTTGGCTGATGTCATGTTGAGAACCTTGAAATAGCTGACTGCATCTGAAGCTTCTGCATGAGGAAGAGTTTTTTCTGGGGTACCTGAAGATCATTGTTCTGATTCTTGAATACTTGATCAACAGCATTGCACTGTTCTTTGGTTTTGTTTCAAATTGAACAGGCTTCTTTTCAAAACAGTTACTTATGTTTTTCACAAGCCTTTTCCTTGCAGTGTAAGTGGTTGGTGAATGCTGTGATCTGCAGCACTACAAAGATAGGAGGAGTTTTTTTTCTTTCGGTTAGTCTAATAGGGAGAGGGCCTATTCTGAGGCTGGATTCAACCCAGCCTTGCTTGTCATTTAATCAGCTTAAGAGTTTGGATTGGGATGGCTGGGGACATGTAGGCTGAAAACCATTGTATCTAATTAAAATACGTAACTGGGACGCTTCATGTGGGAGCCTTGTCTAGTCAGCCCCCTTATATAGTCAGTGGATCTCCAAAGGGCTGTTCAGACAGCCTAAGCTCTCCAGAGAATGCATATGACATCTATACTCCTTAGAGTTAAGAGGAATGAATTTTTGCCTTAACAGCCAATAATGGGTAATGACCTACACACAGGAGCATGGCATGGCAGTCTTGCAGAGCAATGTCATTGCACTATATCCTCTGTGAAGAAGAGCTTTCTTCATGGTTTTATTCCAAGCTAAAACAGCAGGAAAAGAGTGAGCACATTGCTGAGTGGTGGCTGACCAGAAATGCAGCAGCTTGGCACAGTGGAATTAAAGGGAAAAACAGAGCATTTGCACCTGCAGTGTTTGTGAGATCTGTTCTTTATGTTGTATGGAGAGCTGCATATCTTTATGAGTGCCAGTTCACAGTGTAGGAGAAATGCTGTTCAGCACTGCAGTGAGCATCTACTGCTAGCAGCCTTTGACAGGCACAAGCTGTGTTCCAAATTGTGACTGCTGGCTGCAGCTATAGTATAATATGGAGGATAAAGCTGAGCCTGATTTTTTTTTTTAAGCTGCTCAGATTAACTTGTTTAATTTTTGTAGGTTTTTCTTAAAAAATCATCTTTAAAATTGCAACTGACTGAACTAATGTGAGCTGCCACAGCTGACGAGGAAAGGTTAGCTCCGACATAGCTCCCTAATGACTGATACATGTCTTAACTCAGACGCCCTTAAAGCTTTATTTCTGCACCTTTCCAGGTACCTTGTGCAGGAAGTTAAAGGAAGGACAGAACAAATCAGCACCATGTCTTCAGTCTCAGCTTATTACAATGGAAAGAATGTTCTTATCACAGGAGCTACAGGTTTCATGGGCAAAGTACTGATGGAAAAGCTTCTGCGCTCCAGCCCTGACGTGAAAGCGGTTTATATACTTGTCAGACCAAAGGCTGGACAATCAATGCAAGAGAGAGTGGCCAACATGTTGAAATGCAAGGTAAGTTTCTATTACGTATTCTGGAGTCTAAGATGAAATCCATCGAGCTGGCTGAAGCAAAGGACTTCTTTTATAATCAGTTCTGCTGTAGCCGTTGTATATTTTTGTTGTGTGTAAAACAAAAGTACATGAATGAACCTGGATCCATCTGCTTTTGGTAGGTGATGCAGCATTTTATGCTGCAGTGATGTAAGTTTGTCTTCTTTTTTGCATTGCTGTTTGTTGAGAATTATTTTTTTCAAAAGCACATTCACTTAGGAAATTCCTTTTTGCCACAACAGCAGCATTTTGCTTTCATGGACTCTTTTCCTTCCCCCCCATTCAAAAGTTAATTTTGGAACATTAGTGTCCAAAAATAAAGCTGAGCCCATCATACCCTACTCCTTGCCCTTACTGGGGCATTAAATTAGTTTCATAAGACAACGCCTAGTGGCAGTGTATATTAGGCTGTGCACTGCTGCAGTATAGTAGGGCATCTGCCATCTTCTGATGTCGGTGTCAGCTCCAGTTTAACCTTACTTAAGAAGCGGTAAGATACTGCTGCATTTGAAAAGGGTGTTTTCCAAAGCTTCTCACAGCAGAACACAAAGGCTAAGACAGACCTGTGAGTCGAAGAACAGACCTGTACTACCTCCACCCATGTGCCTTGTTTCTATTGAGCTTTTAGGTTGCCGCCCTGGTGAGGAAATCCATATCTCTGGTGTCAAAACCCTTTGTTGTATTTAATGTAAAGATTTGTAAGGAGAAACTGCCAGACAAGTTATCTAGAGTGAACTTGGCCTGAGGATCTCAAGGCCCTCAGGAGCTTAGGACACTGGTGAGGTCATGCACTTGCTTAGACACCTCAAGTTATGACAAGTTCCAGAGTTCAAGCTAATGCTTACTGCTAGTGTGAAATTGTATATAGCTGATGTGAAATGAGGGGACAGGACAGATCTGGCCCTAGTAGGCAAGGAATTACTTGGAATTAATCTGAGAAATGTCAATATATTTTTAGAGTATTGATCTAAAACTTTGAACAAGCCTTGACTGGGAAGGTACTTCTCTTACTTCTACTGGAGTAAAATAGGTTTATAGATAACTTAGAGACAAGTAGGTCTGGGAGAAGGCATGCATTTTTCCTCCTAATGTTCTGAGGCATCAAACTAAAAAATCTGAAGTATGTCCAGCAACAGTTTGATTTTGTTTTTGGTTTGTTTTTTTTTTCTGGGTGTTTTCAACAGAAGAGCAGGTTATTTTCATGTTCAGGAAAATTTGTTAGTGATATAAAAGGAAACCATCACATTGGTTGCTTTTTGCAAGTCTGTCAAATGCACTGTTTTTCATTACTTTTCCTTTCAGTGAACATTTTTCAGCTGTTTTTGCAGCTTTCATCACTGAAGACTCCGGGTAATGGTTTTCATCATCAAAGAACAAAATCCCAAATGTGATGTGTTTGCATGTTTTTTTGCCCCCCCCCCCCTCCCCCCCCTTTTTTAACCACTAAGAAAATGACAAACCTAACTACATTTTAGGACTTCAATAAGGTTTGTTTGCATATTGCTGGCTTATCTCTTAAATTGGCCAGCCCAGCTTAGTGCTACTGTTAGCTCTAGGTGAGGTTCCCTAGTAGCTGTTTTGTTGTTGCAGCTCTACTGGCGCACCCTTTTTTCCCTAGCATGTGTCAGCAGTTTTAAACATGCCAACAGCAAATACGACTTGAAACCTCTCCTTGAACCTTTGACAGCCTGCTTCAACGTGTTTTGGGTGAACATAAGAAAGTGGCCAGTCTCTTTTAAGTTAGGTTGCTGCAGCCTTGAAAAGAGAAAATGCTCACAACTCATTCCGGTCACCTCAAGGAAGAAGGTGTTTTTTTGACTGATCTTTTTAAAATGAAGCAGAAAATACTTCCATAAGGCAAAACCCCAACTCTTCAAGGGTTATTTCCATGTGAAAATGTTGACAGCCTTTGTATTTTTGCTAGATGTGAAACTGTTAATTCCAGTAGCTGTAATTTCATGGCAGGTGAAGATGGAAAGGAACATTACTCTTAACGTTTTTGCGGATTGTTTCCAATTAAGTTCGCTGTATGTCTTTAAACCACACAATCAGTCATTCACAATCCCGAGACTACGCTTTGATTTACAGTTGGGTTTGCGTGCTTCAGTTTGAGAAATCCCTGAGCTATATAACAAATAAGATGCAGCAAAAGGTTATTCCAAGTCTTAAGGAAATATTTGCTTCTGATATTCCTGATCTCTGATTAAAAATATATATATTTGAGTAAGCACAGGAATACTCAGAATAAAATCCCTTCATTTCTTCATGTGTACCTATATAATTTCTCACCTCTCCTGCATAATTATTCTTTTCCCCCATGAGCTGTTGGATTTAATGCAATACAGTATTTGTATCCGGTTTTAGGAGAGCATACTGAATTTTTACTTTTGTATTCTACCATATGTAATCTCTACTGACTGATTACACATGCATCTTGAAAGTAACTCTTTCTTCTTTTCCATTATGCTTTGACCCAGTATTATACTCTGGAATTTCTCATTTTCACACCCAGAAAAAGAGTATTCCAAGAACCAGAGCAGTAGAGAAAAACAGGTTGCCAGCTTCCAAATTCCTAAACAAACAGATAAAAATAGTATTTGGGATTAAAAAAAAATGAAAGCAGTAGATTGACCAGACTAAGTTGCACTGCATAATGCTTAGGTTCTTTAGGTAAGCTGTTCTCAGGACTCCTGATTTTTGGTAGTACTTAACATGTTGAAAGAAATTGCCTATCATTTTTGATCTCTCTTCATACATCTCTGTATATGGGGGTTTATATCTACAGGGCTTTAAACATTGAGGTATTGCATTTATGAGCAGCCTTGTTCACAGCGTGTACATGTGAATGTGCTGGAAGATGACTCCTGTTAAATAAAAAAGCACCTGTAAGTTACAAAAGGGCGATGTGCTGTAAAGGGAAAAATACCTTAAGTTGTGCTTTTCAGATGTTTAGTACATGGAATTTTTCAAATTCTGCATCCAACATGAAGAGTAAAATACAAAAAATAATTTGGACATAAATCAGAATTCTTCCACTGCTTTTGGAGTAGTTGAACAGATGGCATTGAAATGTAATATAATGCTGGTTTTCCTCTTATAAAATTAGTCTTACATGAAGATACCTTATTGTGTTAATATGAAATGTATAATGAACAGATACTCAATTATCTCACCATCGACTCCAAAATGAACATGTGCACTGAGGAATGTGTGGTGCATCGTGACCTTGCCTACTTATGAAAGGAGGTGTTCTATTTTCCAGCAGCAAGTCCCTAAGGGAGTCAAGCTATTACCCAGTGCTTAATGAATGCTGTGTCTGCATGGCACAGAGCACAGCTGGTAGACAAAAAAACACAATTTTCAGTATTGGCTTCACCCTGGATGTGTCCATAGATGTGCATCACAGGGCAAAGCTTGACAGCACTGTTCAGTCATTAGTTGATGGGAGCAGTATATTTGTTAGAGAGAGGGAATTGTTACAAGGAGTATTTTTTGTTGTGTGATCCCTTTGTGCGCAGAAAATAGGCAGGAATGCTTGGAGGGGTTGTCTCGGATTCCCTGGAGAGGTGTTGCTGGGCTAATGCTGAGTCACTGGTTGTAGCTTTCATATTGTCCCTGGGAGAGCAGAGCATTTTCCATGCCCTGCATGCAGTGAACCAAGGTTGCTTGCTGCTGCCACACTCTTTCTCAGATCTGTTTGTTCAGTGTTCCTAGTTAGATCAGTCAAAGTGGGGAGTGGAAAAGACACTTGTTAATCTCTGATCGTTCAGAGAGAAAATGGGGAGGCTATGGGAGTGCTGAAAATGGGGAGCAGGTACTGCTTGGTGAGACTAGAAATGCTGTAAAATGCTACTGCTTTTTCGTATCTTCCAACCACAATTAACCCTTATGGTTAACTCTGACAGTTCCAGTGGATGGGTACAGATAGACCTTCTCTTCCATGCAAAGATTTTTCTGGAACTACACATTATGATGGGACTGACCACTGAGAACAGCATAAGCCCAGTGTTAAATCAGATACCTTTGCCTTTTTAGTATATCCTTGTCAATTGTGCTATGCTTATCAGCAAATATGCAGGCAAGCCCGATTTTGCTTTTTCGAAACACCTCCCTTGACTATCCCTTTCTCCACACCCTTGCTCATGTGTCTTCTTCGTCACCATAAGCAGTAAGGTTTCTCCCCACCAAACCAGTGCGGTACAGCGTCACTCCCTCTGGAACAGCAACCCCTAAATCTGCTGCAATTGCTGCAGTGGTGCATGGATCAGTATCTGGATCAGAGTAATAAGCTTTTTCATTTGATGGAACTGGATCCAACTTGCTCAGTAAGAGGTCTGGAAACTGCTAATTGGAGTGAAACAGCTGAAGATGTTTTCTGGTTTATTACTTATTTAGATTTGCCTCACTTTTGTGAGTAGATTATCATAAACAAATCCAATATTTGTGGACCAAAGGAACAAATCTGTCATTTTAACAGAAACTTGTTTATTACTTGACCCCATGATTTGTCAAGTATGTGGTAGAGAGGAACTAAGTCTTAAGGGCAGTAACATAACTTACATGAAAGCAGGCAAGGGTCTGTAACCATTCTGTTCCTCTTTCCTGAGTTAACACCATCTGTTGCCTTGTTCCATTTTGTTTTTTTTCTCTTCTCCAATTTGTGCTTCTGTTTGAAGAAGGCTGGTAAGGTTTTACTTTACGTGCTAGCAAATAGCCTACTTTCTACAGCACAAGGAAGGGCCAACAAGACAGCTGGTGCTTCTAGTAAGGTAACCTTTCACACTGGACAAAAATGAAATGACCATTACTCCTGAGCTCAAGACTCAGTCAAATGTCCTTGGTGTCACTTTCTGCTGTTGAATGACTGCATTTATGCTACTGCTCTGTAGCTTTAGGCTCTGCTGGAGCATGGGCATCTGGAACAAGCAAAGGCAATGGTATTGCCTTTTCTGGGTGCTGCA